AAACCGAGGCCCAGTCGGTTCTCTGGGCCTTCTTCCGAAGATAATGAAGGGGTGCCACACTGTGGTGTCAAGAAGCTGGAGACTGCAGGCTACGCTTACCATGTAGCTGCTGTAGGCGCTGTGTTTAAGAAAAAAGTCTTTCCAAATTGATGGCCTAGAAGTGGAGATTAGTGCTCCATTATTGACTTCATGAACCCAAGGGCGTCAGAAATGATGTCATGATGATAGTTAAGAAAAATAAATATTCCGCGGTTACAAATTTTTTCTTTTTTCTTTTTTTTGTAATTTAAAAATGAAGCATTCGTTATACATTTAAGTTCGTTATATGATTTTGTTATTCCATGGTGATATTCATTCTCTTGCAAGACAAGAAAAATTTTGTATTCCGTTTGGCGGTAAGTTGTTACGCTCGCGGGCGTTTTAGGTACATCCTGTGAAAATGTTGCCTGCATGGTTTTTTAATGATTTATTCTTTAGGCATTTTTGGTCTTCATTTTTACTGTACCACATATAAGGTTACTTTTTTAAGCCAAAGATTGGCCGTAAAATCCATGTTCTTTATCATCGAAGCGAAATTTTGAATATAATTTTGCTTTACATTTATTCTTGTTTCCTGCATTAGCACTCCTCATGCTCAAGGGCACCACACTCTATGTTTATATATTCTGTTTTCTCTTTCGTATGCGATTTTTTCATACGAGTTTCATCACCTTCAGCCATAGTTCGTCGTTGGCCATAGGATGGCCGCTCCAACGGATTGTGAGACTTAATAAAATGGCGTTGAATTTGTTCTATAATCGGTAGTTGTTCTCAAGTGATGTTTCACCCACTGCGCTTCCTGATCAGAAAACATGCTCATGTTAACTTTTCTTGTGCTCAGAATACGTCAGTTATTTGGAATGAGTCCTCAAGTACATAGATTATTAGGCTAAATAATCTGCCATCGTTCACCTGATCAGTTCTTTCGACTTTTCAACAGTTATGAATATTTTGAACATTGATCAAGAATGTCGTTTTATCCTTCACATAAAATATATTTTTTGCGGTTTCAGTACTCAGATTACTCCACACCTTAAGATTAATTGTATTAATTGTAATTCTGTTGTTTCATGTGCTTTTCCCTGTTCATCACTATCGCCGTAGATTAATATACATCATTCCAGTGGTATAATGGATCATTTGATTTGCTGTTTGTTTTCAGATGGCCGAAGAGGAACATGTGCTGAGTAAGGACATCGGTTCAGAGAAGGAAACTGCTGCAAGAACGACCGGAGAGATGAAGTTCATAATCACGGGAAAGACTCAGCGAAAGTCGTCGTCGTCCAATAAATCGAAGAAAGTGTTCGGCATCAAGCCAGTTCCGAAAGTCGGCAGCCACGCGAAAAGAACCCTGACCAGCAAGAAGGGCAAACACGGCAGCGACCGCTGGATGCGTACTTATCACTGGGTGAACCAGAAGCACAAAGAAATCTCCGGTAAGTTCTGCGGTTCGCTTACTTTTGGCTGGGATTTGAAGCTACTTATGTTGCTCTTTAGTCGAAACGACGGATTCAGCCATCGACGCTACGGAAATGACCAAGAACAAGGCGCTGGACGTCTTCTTGGGTGCGTTCATTTTATTCGAATTCGTTTTGAGACCTCATAGCAGTAATGGATACAAAAATTTTAGATAGCATCAGACGTCAGTTCGAAAACTTCCTCATTTATATGCAGAGTGATGATTATCGTCGACGGCTGCTCGAAGAGATCGAAACCGAAAGGGTAATTTGTTTTTCTGAAGAAATTCCACCAAGAGAAGTTACTTAAATACCATTCCTTTGCTTCTTAATTTCTTAAGGGAAATTTAAACCGGCTATGGTGGCGCTATGGTTTAACATCCTTTTATTGGTTGTGGCGGTATTTTGTTCGTTAGTGAAACGAAAATAAGCAGCAACAGTTTAATTCCAAAGTTCCTATTCCTTGCTTTTAGAAGCAAAGCAGGGTAGAAAATGAATCGCTCAGTTCGAGAACACTCATTAAATATCCAGACTAGTTTAATTTAAAGAAAGCTTCTAAACGCTGGAATATCGATGCTTGCTTTCCGGGATGAGTCATTTCTATCGCCCTTTTTTCATGAAGTTAATGATAGAACACTGATTTCTGTTTCCACGCCATCAGCATTTAGTATAATGGTGTAGTCGACAGCAACTATGTGGCAGGCATAATGTATAGCCTCTTGTCTCCGTCCCTTACAGTGATACTCATTTATCAGTCTCGGAAGGAAGGAAGACGTGAGTTACCTGACAGGGGCTCAAGCCCTTGACCTAATAGATTCTGAATCAGATGCTCTGCCAACTGAGCAACCCCCATCTAATACTTCAGAAAGCTATTACTTCAGTGACAGTTCCCTCAAACATGCCTCATGATATTCTTGCTTCAGATAAAAAACAGAGAACTGATGTATCTTTGTGACCAGCGAGAGAAACAGATTAAAAAGCTTCAAGAAGATGGGCTAGAGCTGTTGCAGGCGCGTTTGGAAGAGGTACGTGCCTATCGTGAAAGTTGAGGATTGTACATGTAACGTTTTAATTTGCAGGTAGACATCGTTGCGAGTAGCACGAACGAGCTGCTCACGCAGGCCAAAGAAATCGTCATCTATCACAAAGCGTTGCAGTCCAAGTCGAATTCGTTGCAGGACGAAATCCAGAAACTGGAACACAATAATGAAATATTGGTACTGTCCTTTTATTTATTTTTTGAATAGTGACCAGTCTATATATGTAAATTTTTCTGCTGTTCTGCAGTCGTTATGAACGTCCTGTCATGCTCTCTTGTTACGTTTTAATTGGTAGCATGTGAAGCTTTTGGCGTTGTTGGCGGTATTATGGCTTAACATAGGTTCTCCACTTTTTCATTACTAGTGGCCTTGGTCATGACACCGAATTCTATTTTATTTTATTCTGACGTTTCTGCTTTCGGAAACAACAATATAGTAGAGTAATGAAGTACAGAAAAATTAAAAAATGGCTTGTAAAAAGACGAAGACGCATATATGCGACAAAATTAAAGGAACATTAATGGGATACGTGAACGGGGTAGGGAGATTATTGTTACAGACTGCGGCATTGAAACACTAGAAGTCGAGGATAAAACGTTAAGTTTCTCTTAACGATTTTCAAACAGAACAGAGACCAGTGAAGTTGTAGTTGCATATCCTCCCTTTGTGCATCGAAATATGTGGGGCGTCTTTAACATTTAGGTCGAGTTTGTCTTAGACATCATTAAAGATCTTATCTCTTTACTACCTAATTTCTGATTCTGACGTGATGGCCAGGGCGTAGAAGGTCTGCTTGAAACTCCGGAGATGCCGCTTTCAATTCTGATGCAGGAGCAGTTGTTTCTTTACCACGAATTCTCTCAAGCAAGGAATTTGTCTTACTTTGTGTCACACCGGGATTCTCCAGTCGTATAGCATATAGTCAAGATTTTTTAGGTCCCTAGTTTGAACCTTGTTTAGGGTTACTCGCCTTTTTTCGTTCTGAGGTTGATGAATAATAAGTGAGTACTGCTCTTTAAAAAGGGATCAGTAGATCACAAGTTAAGTTTGTAAGATGGCTGTAGACTCCAGCTTTAAAATGATGAATCTATACACCCCTGGCTGATGGCATAGAATGGGTGATCAACTCTGCACCACCATCAACTTCCTAAATAGAAGGGCGCCAAAATTGCCCAGTCATTAAAGTGAAGGAAGACGGACGTTGCTGCAGTGAAAATATTACCTTTTTTCTTTGCGTTGTAAGGAATTCGCTATAATCCCAGAATACATTGGGTTATTCCTCGTAATGGCATTCTGATGTTCTTTTATTTGTGTTTTGTTGCTGGTACATTCCGAACATATTTACATAGGTTGTTTGTACCTTTTTCCAAAGTGTTTTGTTAAAACAAGGCGAAATGCTGTTCCTCGTCCAGTCCGTTACTGTTCTTGAATATGAAGAAACTACAGACAGTGATGAATGGATCGGTAGGTAAAGATGGCTGTTCTTTTGAGCTAAAGATTCTGAGCACCAAATCATCCGTTTGGAAAATTGTTTGTTGTTCGTACAGACGTTACAGCTGTTAGGCTCTGAAAATTTAACTTTTCCATTTTTTTACCCTAATTAGTTTGCCACAATGTTTTCTCTATCCAAAAGCTTAGAAAGCTGATTAGAGTGACTGATAAGCCAAAGCGGAGTTAAGCCTGTTAAGTACCCTCTGACTTTCTTTTCACCTTGGGTTTCTTCACACGAAAGTGACACCTGGCATAGTCATAGCAGAGCATTTTTCGTTTCTGGCGTTGAAACCTAGTGCTTATTGTAACATGGTGTAAGGGGTGTCAAACGGATCCTTGACCTGTTTGGATGCTGCGTTAATTTTTTTGCTACTAACTTTAAACCATCATGTGACTAGACGGAATATTAACTGTTGTTTTACTAAAATCGTTGTGTAAAACGGTGATGGAAAGAGCCTGCTGGAAGAAGGAACCAAAAGGAAGCATTTCATAAATATTTGATATTACATTGTAAAATTGAATTTTGCATTGTTCGCATGGTGCTAGTATATAAGTACGTTGTCCAATATTACACGCATTATTGATATTATAGTATTGTAGAATTGGGTTTCTCTAAACATAAGACATTCGATTCGATTGATTTTGCCGTGGAAATAAATGTTAATAACTCGCTTTCGGTAATATTTAAAAACAAGTCTTTCTGTTTTTTAATATGGGTTTGTTGTCTTTGACATGTAAGTATGTGTAGTTTTCATCGTTAAGTGCATGAACCTGTCAAGTCCATTAGAGCAAGCCAAAAAATAGAATGACACGAAACGATCTTGTCAACGAGCGCATAGCTCCCTTCTGAATTGAAACAGCTGTTTCTTGGGAAATTTCATCGATGATAAACTAACTTCGAAGTCAAGAACAGGCAACAATAAATCTTTACTAGTCCTTAAACTCGTGATACCGAGTTTGTACGGCTAACAATGTAAAGTATTTTACAGCAATACTATAGTTTTGTATGACAAATGGTCGTCATTCCATGAGGTTGTATCACAGATTGCACCGCCCCATTGATTCTTATTTAGCCCACCTCATTAACGTGATCTTGCTTCCTCTGCTTCCTTCCGCAGCACATGGCTTAAATACCATCGAGCAGTGGCCTGTTTAAATAATCCTCGACTAGATCCAAAGAGGTTTGTAATTTATACTATCTGTTTTACACTGCCGCCAAGTACAGTTTTCATCTGCAGTTGTTTAAAGAATTTATTTGCCGGTGGAATCAGAAAGCTGCCATTCTTGGTAGCTGCCTCAAAACCTCGCGGTATCTTTTTTTTCAATTTCTCTAAAGCTTTAATCGATCGAGTAATTTCGTTTTCGTATGTTTTGTTTGTCTGAAAAGAAAGGAAACGCTGCAAACGACTTCGAAATGAGTTATCCGTTTTCTCTAGATTTCTAAAGATCATTCGTACAATACGGTTTTTAAAAAAGTTTTATTAAAATTTAATCTGATTATAGTATTGAACTTCTGACTGTACGCGAATTTGCAGAATAATTGTTTATGAACCTTTACGTCGGTCTGCATTAGCCGGTAATAGAAAGTGTTTGACACATCGCTAGATAATGATAGCTCTTAAGCTGTGGGTCTGCTAAAAAAAATGTACAACGCACTTGACGTGACAGACGCTGCTGATGAAATTTGATTGAACTGCTAGCATTTTTAACTATTCGTTCTCTCTTATTACTTAGTAGCTTAGTGCTTTCTTTGTTTTCTAAAAAATGCTCATATTTTAGATAGACATCTTGAAGCAAAGAGATGACCAGATAATGAAGTCCGGGACTTTACGCGCAATGGTATAGTATTACTGTTTTTATACCTCTCGTAAAAATGTATCAATTCTGTTATTCAAAAATGTTCACATTGGTGGAGAAATACTGATGTTACTAGAATCAGTGCATAAATTTATAAATCTCAATAGTCTAGAAGATCGTTTTTAAATATCTGAGGGAGATATGAGTTTTACATGCAGCTTTTCTACCCTTCAAATATGAGTACTCCATGGTAGAGACGATGCAAGAATTTTACGTCAGAGAATTCCCTCTGTAGTTATGTCCATTACTGTCGTTATATTGATGGTGTTTTGCCTTGAAGGCGACATATTTTACTTCAAGTGTTGTTAATATTTAATTAATGGTTTATGGTCGACATTCCTGCCTCGCCAAAATTACTGAATCAACAACTACAGTCTTATTTAGAGTCTTATTTAAGTCTTACATATTTAGTCATGACTTCAAACGAGTAATCCAGTTTCATTGGTTGTAATATTCAAGCGTATTTAAACTTTAAGTGGGCCATGATGTCTTGCACAGGGAAGTATGGTTTTATATGATTTTGTAATGTAGAATGTATGTGATGTAACTGTTTACTGTTTTCTGTAATTAGCTTACTTCGTATCCGTTCGCTTGGAATTCTTGTTGAGAAAATGTTTAGACAGAAACGCTTTCCGAACATCATGCATCGATTCGTATGCTAATAAAATAATTTTTTGCGCTTATTTCCTTATTTCATTGATCTAAGTAATCAACGAATGAGTCCGGCCTTTCAGTATATCATGAACGTCTACTTGATGCACGTGATATGTTTTGAATTTTCGGTAGTGCTTTGTGAACTGTTGATTTCTTTTACCTGAAACTTTTTTGTGGTTTATTGGAGTTTTTAGGGATTTCCGGATAACCTCACGCGTGAGGAAGTAAAGATGAATCTGGCGTTTGAGATCGACGCATTGTTTGGTCATCGAAAAATGCTGATGACGCAACAGCGCAAATTGGAGAAAGAGATACGGTTGTTAGAGGAAGAGTTTCCTGAGAAGGTCTACACCGAGTTGCAGCCTTTCGTGCCACTTAATGGACCACCTCAAGAGCTGGCGACAAAGAGTGACTACTTAACACTACCCACCACAAAGAAAGCTCGTCGTAAGTCCGGAAAATCAAACAAGGATACCGCATCCGCTAGTATGGGAGCCATCGTGGCTGATCAGAGAAGAAATGATTTGTCTGGGGGGCCGGGATCAGAGGGCGTCAGCCAAAGTCAGAGTGAACAGGACATCGAAGAGAGAATTAAGGACATGGTCCGAAAGGCGTTGAGCGTGGACACAGCGGCGAAGAACGCAGAGAAAGAGCGAAAGGCTCGAAATGCCGAGAAGCGACGAGAGGAAAAGTTCAAGCGCAAGACCGACAGTGCTGCTTTTGCCGCTTCCACTGGCAGGTCGCCTTGCGACCCTGAACCGAGGTCATCCATAAGTGCCAGTATAAAGACACCCATTTTTATCCCTGAAAGCCAAAGTCGAAACGCAGCTACGGAAGCTCCTGCCGTCACTCGACATTGCCATCCGTTTGTGACCCTTGCTGAAGCAGGCGTCGCTCTCGGAGCGGCTTCTTCCGCTTTGCCACCCATGCAGTTCTGTGGAAGTGGCGGTTCTGCCATCGACCGAGAAGCTGCAACGGGGTTTGCATCTCCGCCCCTACCATCGACGACCAGCATCAGCGGAAGGTCGACACTTCCACGGCCCAGCAGTGAGCCTACTCTATCTTCCTCGAATCCCTCACCATGGCGAAAATCGATCACCCCTCTGGGTTCTGAGTACCCCCGCGTTTCAAGCGCTTACGAGCAACCGTCAAAACCTTTCGCTGTACAGAATCTTATCAAATTTCCGACCACTCCTGTGGTCGATGCAGATCAGGGCCAGTGTCCCTTGACATCTGAAGCTCAGTTTCATACGGCGTCCCCTGATCACTTTCGAGCTCCCGCGAGCCTCTACCCAGCGACTTGTATGGACTTTTGCTGGCCAACGTCGTCATCGCCGTATAACTGCGTTTCACATGCCATGACCGCCGTTCAACTTTCGACCCCGTCTTACAATACGTTTAGAGACACTGCCTCGTCAGTGGACAGTGGTTATGCGGGCACGGCCAGCGACAGCCCTCACCCGAGTGTCTGTTCGAGTGGCCGGCAGGAGTTTGCCGCGTTTACTCCCGAACCGATCAGCTACAGAAACAAGTTCAAAAACTCGTCAAACACCGGCAACCCGGGCAACCCCCATGATTATTCGAACCCTGGAAATCCGGTGGTCGACGACGCGTCATCGACCGACGTCACCGATCCGAAGCCGCTGCAGCCGTTTCGTATCCCGCGTAAAATCTCACACGAACTGTTGCAACATAGCGACGCTGCCATCAACCGATCGCCGCTGGCTACTACAGTGACGGCGAAGAAGGACGACTCCAGTTGGAGAAACGCCCTCTTCCCGTCTCGCGGAAAGCGCAAGTGAGTTGTTTTTTACACCCCATTTTTATACGATTTTTTGACCCAGTGGATGACTAAAAATGAGTTTTGATTCTGTTTATCAGCATGAAAAACAAGAAATAAATTCTGTTTAAATAATTCTAAATGACGCAGACCAAATCAGCTTCGCTCCCTGTCATTAAATTGAAATGTATATTTACGTTACTCTGTTAGGGCTGTTGTTGTATGGCCCGATTACCGGAGCGCTTTGCCGTTTATGGAAAGCGCATCGTGCATCCTCATTAAAATGTGGAAAATTGTGAAAAGTCGATGTGTACGTACTGGGTGTCATGGACATTTAGAGAAATTCAAAATTATTATTTTACGAAGCGATATTTGCAACGTACTTTGTGAAGTAGCACTTTACATGTACCTAAGAGGACAGGTTTAAAATTAAGATTCGAAACATCTTTTACGGAATGGCGTTGAATATCGGATTTATGATATACATATTTTCAAAGATTTCTGATGATATTCGATCCGTTTTTAGAAAGAGACGTGATATGGAAAGATACTGTTGCGGTATAGATTAAGAAAAAGAGGGTTACAGACATGGAAAATATAGATATATTTATTGATTGGAGCTTTAATACCTCACAAAACTGCTCCTTCTTCATCACAAATTAATAATTTGGACAGAAGAGATCATAGATTAAAACAGTAGGTAAATGAATAAGGCATTGTAACGAAGAAATATACGACCAGTAGAGAAAAATCATGAAAGAAAATGAAAAGCATGAAAGATGAAAATTGCTAAAGAACGGAAAAGTCAAGGGAAGTATGTTAGACAGTGGAAACAGTTACTCAGAGTTAATTCATGCCACCTGAAAGATATTTGAACCTTAATCGTTTGCAAAGACTGCCAAAGATGTTTTAGTGACGACTCTTTCCTGTATCATGACATCTTCACTAGTTTTGTCGCGTTCTAAAATCTTTGTGTACTTACTATAAGTAGGTGTAGGTTTTTGATAAAATGCTTCTGACAGAAGAATGTTCTTCACATCCCTACTCGAAAGCTGCCGCAGGTTCTTTCAGACTGATTTAACGTTTTTTCATACCTACGTAAATCCTTGGACAAATATTATAATCCAGTTCCTAAAGAGCCAAGTTTTTAGACACGTCGTCTGTTGTGAAATGATCACAGTATCAGATGTTGCTGCCTAGGGTGCTCTCTGGTGACTACTGCTGGTGACCTTGAATCTATTCTTAAATAATGGCAAAAGTGGGTGGAATAAATGCGTTGCAAATAAAGATATGACGTCTCCGTTATGTTGAGATTTGGGGGGGGGACGAATATTGTAAATTTGATGTAAGAGTTGTTGTTTGCGAAACCTGAGCGGGTAACCATTATTTCTGAGCATGCTTGGCAAATTTTGGATTTTAGCTAAGCGTGCCAGTGACAGTTGCAATAATGTATCGCTATTGTAGCAAGTTGAAGACAGTATTAGTTATATTTTTAGAGGGTCAGCAGAACTTAGATTGTAAGAAGTGACTGCAGTTCAGTTCCTCGTTTAAAGCAGAAAGAGGAGGGGAATTATTCGTAACATTTTTTATGTTCAGGGAAAGAAATGCTTATTTTGTTCTTTTTGAACGGTGAGCTCCTTTTTCATCGTCAAAGCCGTTTATGAGATCAGTTCAGGTCTTAGACCATTGAAACACCACTGCTGGACTCGTTATGCGTGAATC